ATTTACTGAGTTAACCTATATTCTGGGTAGCATGAGTATCAGGCTCTCCGGGAGAGGGGAAAGAGAGAGCCGGCTTCCTTCCCTTCTCTCCCCCTCCCCCTCGGAAGACCTGATACTCAGGCTATATTCCGGGTGGATTAATGAGCGTGGAATATACTGTCGCTAATCCGCTAAATCGGAAATCTCTAATACAAACCATCAATTTTGGCGGGGATGGAACGCCATATAGAACATAGAACTCTACATAACATCTCAACTGTTTGTAAAGGTAAGATGTTGATAAAATATTTAAGTTGCTGGAATCATATATGTACTACCATTGGCATTGCCAGATTTACATATGATAGCAAGGACGTACATTTTTTTAAAAATAGGACTTAAAAAGTCCCCGCATTTAGTAAGCTAGTTTTGAATCGTCCGATGTGCATACAGCGTAAAAAAGAGGACGCTACATCTCTGTATAGTGAACAAAGGATAGCGAAAACCGAAATCAACTAAGCTGAACAAAACATCATCCTGTGTTTTGTTCAACGGTATTATTCCTCAAGTATTCCAATTATTTAAGCCTGGTTGTTCCTGTCCTGACGAATATACACTTCAATGTCTTACCATTTTATTCATTTTAGGTACTTTTTGTAGATTTGTGTTTTTATGCTATCATTTGGTTTCGAATCACTTATACTCTATAATTTAATGGCAGTTTTCATTGTCTTTATGAAAAGCGATCCGAGAAAAACAATTAACCTGAAAAAAGTTCCAAATCGTGAGGCAGCATCCTTTAGATGTTGCAGGTTACGCCAACCTTGTGCTAAATGTGGACACTCTCATTCGCGATTCTAATTATAAGTTTTCAAACTTTTTTTCCATAATAATTTGGAATGACGAAATAATGCTTTAATACTAGGTCGAATACGTATAGGTAATAGTATGGTTCATTTTACGAGGAACCATACGATTACCCGTTTTCAAAAATTTAACGGAAAAATTCCTTCTTGGAACCAATATAATGCTCGTGCATTATCATTTATCCTGAATTATCAAATCAAATATAGTTATGGTTCAAAAGAATATTATTCAGAATTCATTTGCTCTTATTACATTTGCTCTCTTCTATCAAACTTTGGACAATAATACTTCAAGATTTTCTACTGTACACAAGAATCAATCATCGATCACTGAGCTTAATTATTTGTCACGTTTTTCTTGAATCCCGCTGAATGGAATAATAAGAATCTTCAAAAAAAGTGCTTCAACCAAAAAACGGCAAACGTAAAAGATCAAGTTAAAAATTATTTAAATATACATAAAACTAGATTCCTACCAACAAAGTTCTTAATCTGAATCAGAATCCAAGGAAAAAGCCGTTTAAAGTGGCGTTTTGACTGATTAAGTCCAGACCAACATGATTGTGCTGAATTATTCTAAGAATTGCGAATTACGGGGGGAAAAAGCCCTCGTGTGCATTAGCCAATCAGCATCGAGTAATTTTTTTTACCATCAAATATTCCTAATTTTTGCCTTTTCTCATAGCGGCCAAAGACCTAATGAACAGAAAATCGATTTCGTGCGATTTTGAAACAAAATCGAAATAGCTTTCGCCGTTTTATAGATACGCGCATATAATTGAATAAGGCCACGAGAACTGAGTTATATTGTGAACGCTTTTAATTTTCCTCCATTTTTTCGTAGCTACACGAAGTAGGTTCATGATTGACTCGTGTCGAGTCAAATTTGTTTTTTAAGCGAGAATTTTATCAGTGAAAACACTCGGCTCATTTAAGCTTGCTTTAGTCGGAAAGGCATAACACCTTGGGCAATGTTTTTTTTTAAATGTATTTTTAGGATTATTCATCTAATCGTTTGGTTTTCTGCACGCGCGTACTGGTTTTATTTTGTATTGATAATGTCTTGGTATTTCTGGTATTTCGCAACTTTGAGTTCCTATTTTCCTTAGCAAATACAGGCCCGTAGCAGGGGTAAAATTATCGCTCGTTTTGCCACGCCCCATATGACCATATCCGCATGTCTTGTTTTGAGTTTTCATCATTTATAAATGCCAACTATGTGAACTTTTCTTAACGCTTGAGTGAGAACGCTCTATATAAGATTTGTATGGTCTATATGTTTATATTTTGAATGATTTCAGTAAAATATATATTTCAGCCCAATTTCAATCAAAATCAACAAAATCTAGTAGTATTATAGTACTCCTGCTGTTCTCCAAAATTAACTATAGTTGCCATAGCAACAGCCTCGATTCCAAACCACCCCTATTTTTGAAATTTCTACCTTTATGAGAGATGGTATCGAATAAGGCTAGGTTAATAGACCTGTTATGGTTTGTAGACACAAATTTAGTCAAACGTTTCTGCTCAAGTTCAAAAACAACGAAGTAATTGCTAAAAGGCTAAAATCGCTGTTAGAGGCCTGGACACTAGTGTGTTGCCATAGCAACGAAAGTTTGAGCAATTTCATGTACGTTCTTTATTTTGAATACAAGTTTATTGCAAAATTTAAATGAATTCCTCAAATACTTTCAGATATACTGAAATCTATTTTGAAGGAAACTGTGAGTTGAGAATATGACGTCATCAACCTCCTAATTTGCATAAATTAGAAACCTAAATACCTCTCTAACCAAAAATGCTAACAAGAAATGGAAAGCGCCAGTTTTCTTCTTATGTAAAGTACTTTAAAGTGTGTTTAAGCAGTAAAGATTGGAGACATTCAAATTTCATCGTAGTGGCACTTTAAGCAAGAAGTAATCTTGCTTTAGTGAAAAACATCAAAACGAACCGGGTACATGTGTCGTCAAATGGTGGTAACATTTTAAGATAAATCCGAACTTCTTATGGATTGTTTGCCAAATAGGTCAGCGGATTAGCGAATTTCGCAATGAATTAATCAATTAATGAGGATTTCGAAATCGGAGTAAGATTTGAACTGATTGGCGGATCCTACAAATGCAGTGGATTGCGGATTTATCCATTGGATGCTCCGAATTTCGGTTTTTGTTCGTTACAGAGTTCGATTAGTACATCTGAACCACACTCACGTACGAGGCAACTGTCAAATTATTTGCATATTCGGATTTGAACAATCTTTTGCGGATCGACGGATTCGGGCATCAATAGTAACGGTCGACGGATTTGTCCCTATTAACCCAGCCCCACCTTCAGAGTACTGAAATTCATTTTTGGGCAGGCATTCAGAAACATGTAAGAAATGCCATGCTGAGCTAATTTTCGTGATGTACGAAGAAAATTTTGATTGGCTAAAGAAAAAACCAGCTAGAAATTCCAGAAATCTTTTTGGTGGCTACTTTTTTAACTTGAGAATATACAAACTAGCTGCACAGAACGAGCGCAGATTGTAGGGACTCGGGATATGCTAACGTGTCACTCGTTCGGATATCGGCGGATCGGCAATAACTAAATGAACTAAGACGCTTTTTTCTCAACAGTTTAGCAGATCATATTAAGCAAAATGAATTTGTCTTTGAATTATGCAGATTTTTCGTATTATTCATTTTTCCTTTTTGGGGGGTAAGGGGGGGGGGTGCATTTGAATGTTTACACTGAGCCCTTTAGGTATTCAAAGTTTGTTCAATTTTTCCTTCAATTTCACAATTTCACTTTATTTTTAAGGTGGCTGCCTACTTTTGAACGCTCCATTTGAGCCCACGATGTGCGCGCGCTCAAAAACCGCTGAAAAATCTACAAGATTTTATTGAAGAACCATACGCGTTGTGAGCTTCAACAGGGCAAAACCCTCAAATTTTGCACGGGACTCTATTTTTTAATAGCTTATTTGAATAAGCTGCTAAAAATATATAACACATGAAAAGATTTTTGTAGGGAGTTTTGTTCGACTTTATATGAGATTTCTTAAGAGCACCGAAACTACAAAATATGGCAAATCAATGTATCTTTGTCTTTTTGTCAAAAAAATCCACGTATTATTGTAGAATGATTGACTAGCCTTTATTCATGCAATCATAGAATCTGCAAATAATAGTTATCTTATGAATCTTATTTTTTTTCAAATCACTTCCGGTAGCGCAATTTTTGCTCCAAAAGCTCGCGCTTAGGCTTCCATTAACTGCTGATTAATACGAAAACAAGCTCGGGACACCCAATTTTTCTTTCCAGATTTCGAATCAGCATTAAATTTCAATTCCGAAAATCGAAGTTTTAAAGAAGCCTAATATTTTTTCCAAAAGTAGGCAGAGAGCTTTGTAACTGACTAACAGTTAGCAATGTGGTTTTTAAAAATGTGATATATTAGTGTTTTGATTGATTGTACATAGAATTATATTGCAACTGACTAGCAAGGGTGTTAGTTGCAATGTGATTTTCGAATTTTTGATATATTTATGTTTTAATTATAAAAAGTCCTATATTGCAACTGATTAGCAAGGGCGGAAGTCTGCAATGGGTTTTTGGAGAAATAGCCAATTGATTATAAGAAACTGGAACTATAATGCAACTGATTTACAATGGGCTTATTTTTAGTATGGGTATGTACTTACAGGAAGAGATAACTAGCTAAAAACTAATTAATAATTAATAAGTAAGTTAGTAAATTTTTTTCATCTTTTCACGGTGTATAGTTTACCCTTTTATCATTTATGTACTTACAAGGGAATTCATCATGTCTTTTCAGAGATATCGTCGCTTGCTATTCAGCATGAGGTGTGTACTTTGGCTCCTGTTGTTGCTGTCCCATTTTGGCTGTACAGCTGCTGAACTAGACCCTGGTGAGCAGGCTAAAGTATCTACAGCACTTGATACGACTCAGTTTGTACTTGACCAACTCGCAGGCGACATTAAGGGAGAGCAAAAGGCCCTCAAAGAAGCAATGGCGGCTTCAAAGAGCTTGAAGAGTGCAGAACTTCTCAAGAAACAAACGAAGCTACTCAAAGTTGGTAAGATGGTTGGGCGTGCACTTAAGGCTATTCAGGCCGCCTCTGCTATTGCCAGCTTTGTCTTCACCTTCTTCATGCCAAGTGATTTGGACGTCATCACGTCGCTGATAAATCAACGATTTAACGAAGTCAATGCGAAGCTTGATCGACTTGACCAGAAACTTGACGAAATGGAGGCGTCCATCAAGGCAAACAGTGCATTTAATACTTTCTTATCTGCCTGGATAAAATGGGAGTACAAGTCAAAAAATGGTGCAAAGAAACTATCGGATATTCGCAAGGCAATGGGTACTAAAATCCGAAGAATAGACCAAGTGAAGCTCGCTGAAGAATACGTCAAGTACTACGAAAACAACGACTTGGATGGAAACCTTCTCAACCTCTACAGAATGG